AAAATTGTTGCAAAGAGCTCTAGAACTTTTCAAGAGAGTATCAAAACTTTAAAAAAAATGTCATATTTTTGAATATAGTGTGCTGGGTATATGGGGTATATATTGGCGTATATATGGCGTATATATGGCGTATATATTGTCAATAAAAGGAACTAAAAATCTCTATACATACACTATATAAAAAAATAATATGTAAAAATTTTAGTTCGTATTTTATATCAGTGCTCGAGATTATTTTCACATTAGAAGCGATTCTCTCTCTCAGGAGCTACGTCTACTACTTCCTCTTACCACGCGATGGGCTAAGCAACTGACGGTCGCAGTTCTCCACCTAAAGCCCGTATCAGACTACCGACTGCACAGGTCGACCCGACTGCCGACTACGACTACCGACTCTCAATGGACCAATCACAGTGAGGCGCCGATCGGCGCCTGATACGGGTTTTAGGACTGTTGACATTATGAGGTGTATCTGTGAGATGCCTACTAAAGATGCGTTCAAGGAGCGCACTGATCAGCGCTAACGCGTCATTCAATCCTTATAAATCTAATAAGCGATAAAGATAAAATAACGTGTTAACGCGCTCTTCGCGAACGCACATCAATAGCTGAAAAATTCATCGAAATAACTCGATGTATAATTTACATTATATAAATATATACAAATTTTTTCAGTCATTAAGATGCGTTTGAGGAGCAACACTAACAGGTTATTCTATTTTTATCGCTCATTAGAAGCACAAGAATTGGATGACGTGTTAACGCTAATCAGCATGCTCCTCGAACGCATTTTTAGTAGGCATCTCATAGATGCGCCTCATAATATCAACGGTTCTGAGGCGGAGAGCTGCGATTGTCAGTTGTGAGATTGCCGTCGTGCGGCAAGAGGAAGTAGTAGGCGTAGCTCCTGAAAATCACCTCGAATACGAAAATAATTCTGAGCACTGTTTTATATTGATCATCGACGCGACTAATATCAAATAATACGTTTGCTAATAATACCAAATAATATGTTTGGTATTATATATATACCAAATAATACGTAGGGTAATATATATATATATATATATATATATATATAAAACAATATATATAATAATAATAAAAAAGATTAAGTAATTGTTAAGTATCTCGCTTCTTCGAAGTGTTAGATTCTTTGCTGTGACTTTTTCGTTTTTGACTGGAATCGTCAGAATCGTCAGATTTATCGTTTGGTTTTGTAGATCTTCCTCTTGGTTTCTGTTTATTCGACCATTGCTGCATTTTCATACTTTTCGCTATCACACGTTTCTGATGATCCAATTGTGGAAACAAGTCTAAAATTTGTTAAACAAATAAGCTTAGTAAATGGAGCAATTTGATTTAGAATCATATGCAATAATTATTACTCGTATATGATAATTGTTATTCAACAATTTAGCACCTTGAGATTTTTCTAAAGCTTCTTTGGCAGAGTTCATTTCCGCTTCTTGAATACTATGTCCTGAGGCCTTAGCCAATCGTTTTCCTTGAAAATACACAGCGACTGTGTAAACTCTCGTATTAGTTGGCCCTTTACACTCGATAACTCTAAAAAAAATAAATGAATCAAATAAAACTTATAAGATTATGAAAGCTTTTTTTCTTACTGATATTTAAAACTTCTGTGTGCTTATTCTGCAACTTTACCAATATTAAACACCAATATTATTATTGTTAAACATCATTACGCAGTTATTATATGATACGCGCTATACCTGCGCCACAACGCGTAACGAATAAAAATATTATAGAATTACAGGCTTGCTGATCTTTCATTATGTTGATTGATGACGTTAGAAACATGAAAACATCCAAAATTCTTAATTAGAAAAGATATGTCAATGTATTTTACAAGAGATTTGAACATATATTTTTTCATTTCTGATACCGTTAATCCAGATAGACGCGGCGAGGCAATCATAGCCTTAAATACCTACTTATATACGGGAATGTCCGGTTCACCGCCATCCATAGTTCGCAAAGTTAAACAACACTGTTGTAACTTGCTCTTTGGATCGTTCCAATCTTGATTCATGATAAAATCTTGCAGACGCGGGAAGAAGCACACGTCGCAGAAGACGTGACAATATTTCAAACCCTTGTCGACGTAAAGTGCACCAAGGAAAGCCTCCAATAAATCCGCCCTGTCTTTTGTCTTCAGTTCGGCCTTCGGATTTCCGTACAACGCGTACTGAGTCATACCCAAGTCGTCGCAAACAACTGCTTGTGTCTTATTATTTACGAGAGAACTCCGCAACAACTGTGATAAACATAACAGACCGTTAATTTCGCTAATATAATCCACAAATCAATCTACGGATAATTCCGTTTACCGATAAATGTCCTTCGTGATGCTCAGGGAAGAATTTATACAGGTACTCTGAGACGATAAGCTGTAATACGGTGTCTCCTAAGAATTCCAGTCGTTGATTTGAACCTAAAGTTAAATTGGTGTAGCCTATACTGCGATCCGTGAATGCCCTAGCGAGCAGGCGAATGTGAGTGAATTTTACTCCAATTGATTCTTCAAACTTGGTTAGTTTCTGAAAATATTAGAATTAGGTAAGAGACAACGTAAGAACGAACGAGCAAGTTGCTATTGAGGTTGAGAAGATCTTATTCGAACAGCGATGTACCTGCAGTAACTCAAAGCTAGGTATCCACTGTCTATCTCCCATTGGTTCCTGGTCTTGCAGAGGGTGCCGCGGATAATTCACCCAGACTTTAATGAGATCCTTTTCGTCTTTGAAGAGTGTCTCACCGAAAACTCTATCAGCTACTTCTATACCTCCGTCTAAGAACAAGGAACCCATCAACGCTTCGAAACAATTCGCCATAGCGTGCCGCAGTTCCAGGTCGTGACAGAGATCGCTGCCATGAGCGTACAACATGTATTCTTCAAGATTCAGCTTCTTTGCCAACACAGCGAGATGTTGGTTCTGCACGATCGCCGCTCTATAGGTGGCCAAGCCACCTTCCTCCAGATCCGGAAACATGTGAAATAGGTGGATGGAGGTGAGGAACTCAACGACCGCATCGCCCAAGAATTCCAGACGTTCGTTGTGCGCTATCGATGACTCCGTCTCCGTTCTCGCGCCAAAACGAGACATGATGTTGATCAGAGTGTTGATTCCGCGCTTCCGCGTATTCATGTAGTGTATTCTGCGGTCGCCGTACTCGGGTTGCCTTATGCCGCAGTTCGTCAGAGAGTTCCGCGCGTGATCCGGATTCGTGCCGAAGTTTTCACGATAACTAGGATGTGTGAGCGCTAGCTGAAGCAGGTATCTGTTCTTAAACTCGTATCCCAACGTGCGCTCTAGATTATCCAGAGATTTGTGGAATCTCAGGTGACATACGAGCACCGGTATCAGCATCGCATGTTGCACGATGTCACACATAATGCCGGTTCGAAAGAATCCTTCGGAACTGACGTCGACCGTGACATCACGTTTCATTTTGCTTTGAGTACGCAATTCCTGCAGCTTGTTTTCCTTCGCCTCCAATTTTCTCTTATCCTCGAAGGACGGCTTCGACATGTTGGCGAGCAGATGCCGGAACTTCACATAATCTCTCCAGGCTTTCTGATAACTGGATAAATCAGTAAAATCAGTACGCGTTTATGAATGAAAAGATGCGAGTGATTTATTTCTGCTAACTTTTACTTACTCTGCGTTTCCTGCGTAGCTAAGCTGCGGTGGTCGAATACCAAAATGTACTATTTCCGGGTAAGCGACTATACCGGGAGGTTGATCCACCTGACTTCTATCCAGTTGGTCAACACGAACGCTGCACGGCTTCTTGCCAGGATAAGTTACCACCATTCCTTTTACTTCGTCCGCGAAATCTTGCCACTTGTATTGCGGCATCTCTACTAGCCTAGGCATATCTTCTGAATCTATCAAAAGAGTACTACTTTTTATCAAATAATTAAGGACCTCGTTCATTGATAAGATTTCTTGCCCGTTGTCGGTCAAGTCGCGTACGAATCTTGGCATGAAGTGAAACTGCCCGCAGCCGGATTTATCTTGTGCTGCATGCAAGTCGAAATCTACGAGTTCTAAGACCTCCCTGAACAAATATGTTTCTGTAAAAATGCAAAATATAAAAATTACCGGAACAAACAACAAAAAGGAAATAATGTTAGTCGGATAAAGCAAACACTACTACTAACGGAAATAATCGAGTTCCTCTATTGTAAAGTTTTCTGGTAATTTCTCCTCTATGTAGAGAATTGTGTATTCTATGTTAAACCTGATGACTTTGCACGTGGGCAATTTGACGAGTGGGAAATGAGAGAGCATGGAAAAGCCCTCGAATATAAATTCATGCTCGTCGTGTTTGATAATCGTCGGTGTTTTGGTGAGGAAATTTGTCGGTGGGCTGATCGTTATCCTATAGTGATGCAACTTGTCCGCATTATTCGAATTTAGATCGCACTTGTTTATTACGCCCTCTCCGGCGTAAATGCCGTGTCTTATGCCAGACCGACGTGATTTTGCGCTACATCTACATAATGGACCATCGTTCATCTACAAGCAGAAAAGAAGAAAAGAAAATGAAGAGAATATCTCTAGATTCTAAAAATAAATAGAAGACGATTCTGCAAAACAATCTGCGAGGTTACCTCTCCGGGATCGTTGAACCACATTTCAGGATGCAACCTTTGCGGGTGCTGTTTCTTGGCCATTAATTCTTCCATCGTTCTATCATCCTCATCCATAGAGCTGTCGGTGTCGCTGTCGGAGGAGCTGCTGCAAGCCTCGGATTTATGACGGCAAAGACGAGCTCTGGTTTTTCTCGGAGGTGGTTTATAGGGCGGCTATGTAATTTTTTCTTCATTTTCTATGCATATGTTTAATACAACTTATGGAAGTGAACGTACCTGCAAATCCCTTGCTGCAGCTGCTCTATCAATCAACAGTTTTTTGAACGTTGCGCACAATTCAATCAGTTTAGGAGTACTCCTCATTATTTTCGGATTATTTTCATCTCGAATGTAATAAAGATCCGCTGGTGCTGTGCGTGTCCAAATTTTCTTTTCACTTTCGAGTATACCTTCAGAGCCCATTGCCGACAATTCATCCAGTTTTCGCTCAATGTCTTTGCTCGTCGCGCAATAATTACGCCTGCAAAACAAAATATATTTTGTATCTTTCGCATTTATTTCAAGCCTGTTTTAACAGTTATTATTTGCTACTTGTCCTATACGAAATATTTTGATCCACATTCAGAGTTAGATTAGAGTTTTTTATTTGAATAATACAATATATATGATATCATGCAATATATACAATTCATAGTGTCGCTTTGTCTATAACTGCTGTCACATATTTTATTTGCATTATACTATGACATGAGTGTGTTCTGACATGTCGACTAATTCGTGAGCTAGTCATTATAAGTTTGATTTTCATTGTATATATATTTGCAACCAAGATTTTGCTGGAAAATTCATATCTAATTTTAATTTTAAATGAGGCAAGTTTCAAAAGTAACAGCTATTAATAGATTTTAGGATTTTTCTAATCTCTGGGTACACTAAATAATAGTTGAATCATGTCTGTTTTTATTTTTCCTTCAAATTAGATAAAGACAGAGATGATATAACTATTAGTCTACCAAGAGGTTAAAAAAAATCAGTTCTTAAAGAAAAAAATCTACACATTATAAAATTATACATTACAAAATTATACATAATTATTACCTATATTTCTCTAAAATCAACTCTCTCTCAGTGGGACATTTTCGTTTACTAGGATTGTCACTCTGTGTAGCATCTCTCTTCACATGAGATTCTTGTGATCTTGATCTCTTCCTATATTTACTGCTTGAATAAGATACCTTTGAATGAGATGACGTTGTCTCATGACTCTTTCCTCTGTCATGTATCTTATAGGAAGATCTTCTATCAAAATCCTTGATTTTGTATTTAGATTCCCTCAAACTGGATCTTTCTTTATCATATTTATAATATTTATCTCTATGATCATCATATCGTGATCTATACGATTTTTCCGACCTTCCACTGCTACTTGGACTCCTGGATCTGTTTCTGTTATTTGTATAACTCGGCAAAGGTTCCTTGACTTCGTACTTCCATTCGGATTTCTTTATTGGTGACTCAGATTTGTAGTATCGCTTAGTGTCGTACAATTGCTCATTGTCACACATTTTATTTGCATCATACCACGACCTGGATGTGTTCTGATATGTCGACCAATTCGTGACGGGATTGTTGGTGGGCCAGTCGTTACAAGCTTGATTTTCATTATATGTACTTGTATCATTCGTGTTCCAATTCACATTGTAATTCCTATTGACAGGCTGCTGCGAAAAGTGCGTGTTGTTGTGATACGGATCGCACTGCTGATGCACTTGATTTTGATAAGAAATATTGTGCACGTCGCCGGAATCATAGCGATACGCAGGCGGAGGTACAGTCCGATACATTGAATTCATTGGGTCAAATCCCGATACATTAGGGGGTGCATTATAGAAATATGAGGAATTATAATTGGCGGGTTGATTGTAATTAGGCGGTGGATAATTCGGTACTGGGAAGTACTCCATGTTCTGGTGAGTCGCCTCAGAGTTCCAATAGTACTCTTGGCCCGAGTACGCTGACGGATCTGCCATTTTCTGCGAGTGTGTTCACACGAGAGCGTTTCGTAACGAACAGTTTATGCACAGTTCAACACGCGTTACATCTTATTTTATCAATAATTTCCTGATGGCAACGTAACATACAAATCATTTCTCGTCGACTCAGATTCAGATCTTAACCTAATGTAACTAACCTAATGTAGCTTGACTAACCTAGTCTAACCACGCCTTACCTAATCTTGAGTAAATCAGATGGCTCTAGTGGTTCCTGCACAGTGACTTACCAATCTATTTTTTCTTTTTTTATGCCTAAAAATTTGATGGAAAATTTAAAATTAACATTCAGAAGCTCACAAATTCGAAAGCTCGAAATAGAAAAAATTGAATTTTAGAAGTTAAAATTTTGGTTTAATTTAAAACACCATTCCTTATTCTCAAATTCTATTAGCGGTATGTTCTATTTC